ATTTGTTAAACCAATGGGAAATATACCCCCACTAGTAGATAAGTAATAAATGTAACATGATAAAACACTGTAAAGTAGATGAAAGTTTAATAAAGAATGGAAGGTAATGTAGTATAAGTGTTAATGGAAAAGTTGTATCTAAACAATAAAGACACTAATAACGTTGTCTTATTAAAAGGATGTAATGTTTTATTAACAGTATGTCAAATACGTGAAACTATTGTAAATAGAATACTAAGACAAAATAAAGTGATAATGTTGCACTAGAATGAACAAAATAAAATTGTACACGTAAATATTGGAACTGTTATATTAAATTAAAACTATAGTATTAAGTAAATTAGAACTAAGAATATAAATTGTAAAACATATAATAAGATTGTACACTAAGACCCTTAAAAAATTTGTTAAACCAATGGGAAATATACCCCACTAGTAGATAAGTAATAAATGTAACATGATAAAACACTGTAAAGTAGATGAAAGTTTAATAAAGAATGGAAGGTAATGTAGTATTAAGTGTTAATGGAAAAGTTGTATCCAAACAATAAAGACACTAATAACGTTGTCTTATTAAAAGGATGTAATGTTTTATTAACAGTATATTAAATACGCCGAAACTATTGTAAATAGAATACTAAGACAAAATAAGAGTGATAATGTTGCACTAGAATGAACAAAATAAAATTGTACACGTAAATATTGGAACTGTTATATTAAACTAAAACTATAGTATTAAGTAAATTAGAACTAAGAATATAAATTGTAAAACATATTATAAGATTGTACACAAAAAGACCCTTAAAAATTTGTTAAACCAATGGAAATATAGCCCCACTAGTAGATGAGTAATAAATGTAACATGGTAAAACACTGTAAAGTGGATGAAAGTTTAATAAAGAATGGAAGGTAATGTAGTATTAAGTGTAAATGGAAAAAGTTGTATCTAAACAATAAAGACACTAACAACGTTGTTTTATTAAGAGGATGTATGGAAGAGCCTGGCCTGGCCTGGCCTGGCCTGGCCTGGCCTGGCCTGGCCTGGCCTGGCCTGGCCTGGCCTGGCCTGGCCTGGCCTGGCCTGGCCTGGCCTGGCCTGGCCTGGCCTGGCCTGGCCTGGCCTGGCCTGGCCTGGCCTGGCCTGGCCTGGCCTGGCCTGGCCTGGCCTGGCCTGGCCTGGCCTGGCCTGGCCTGGCCTGGCCTGGCCTGGCCTGGCCTGGCCTGGCCTGGCCTGGCCTGGCCTGGCCTGGCCTGGCCTGGCCTGGCCTGGCCTGGCCTGGCCTGGCCTGGCCTGGCCTGGCCTGGCCTGGCCTGGCCTGGCCTGGCCTGGCCTGGCCTGGCCTGGCCTGGCCTGGCCTGGCCTGGCCTGGCCTGGCCTGGCCTGGCCTGGCCTGGCCTGGCCTGGCCTGGCCTGGCCTGGCCTGGCCTGGCCTGGCCTGGCCTGGCCTGGCCTGGCCTGGCCTGGCCTGGCCTGGCCTGGCCTGGCCTGGCCTGGCCTGGCCTGGCCTGGCCTGGCCTGGCCTGGCCTGGCCTGGCCTGGCGCCTGGCCTGGCCTGGCCTGGCCTGGCCTGGCCTGGCCTGGCCTGGCCTGGCCTGGCCTGGCCTGGCCTGGCCTGGCCTGGCCTGGCCTGGCCTGGCCTGGCCTGGCCTGGCCTGGCCTGGCCTGGCCTGGCCTGGCCTGGCCTGGCCTGGCCTGGCCTGGCCTGGCCTGGCCTGGCCTGGCCTGGCCTGGCCTGGCCTGGCCTGGCCTGGCCTGGCCTGGCCTGGCCTGGCCTGGCCTGGCCTGGCCTGGCCTGGCCTGGCCTGGCCTGGCCTGGCCTGGCCTGGCCTGGCCTGGCCTGGCCTGGCCTGGCCTGGCCTGGCCTGGCCTGGCCTGGCCTGGCCTGGCCTGGCCTGGCCTGGCCTGGCCTGGCCTGGCCTGGCCTGGCCTGGCCTGGCCTGGCCTGGCCTGGCCTGGCCTGGCCTGGCCTGGCCTGGCCTGGCCTGGCCTGGCCTGGCCTGGCCTGGCCTGGCCTGGCCTGGCCTGGCCTGGCCTGGCCTGGCCTGGCCTGGCCTGGCCTGGCCTGGCCTGGCCTGGCTGGCCTGGCCTGGCCTGGCCTGGCCTGGCCTGGCCTGGCCTGGCCTGGCCTGGCCTGGCCTGGCCTGGCCTGGCCTGGCCTGGCCTGGCCTGGCCTGGCCTGGCCTGGCCTGGCCTGGCCTGGCCTGGCCTGGCCTGGCCTGGCCTGGCCTGGCCTGGCCTGGCCTGGCCTGGCCTGGCCTGGCCTGGCCTGGCCTGGCCTGGCCTGGCCTGGCCTGGCCTGGCCTGGCCTGGCCTGGCCTGGCCTGGCCTGGCCTGGCCTGGCCTGGCCTGGCCTGGCCTGGCCTGGCCTGGCCTGGCCTGGCCTGGCCTGGCCTGGCCTGGCCTGGCCTGGCCTGGCCTGGCCTGGCCTGGCCTGGCCTGGCCTGGCCTGGCCTGGCCTGGCCTGGCCTGGCCTGGCCTGGCCTGGCCTGGCCTGGCCTGGCCTGGCCTGGCCTGGCCTGGCCTGGCCTGGCCTGGCCTGGCCTGGCCTGGCCTGGCCTGGCCTGGCCTGGCCTGGCCTGGCCTGGCCTGGCCTGGCCTGGCCTGGCCTGGCCTGGCCTGGCCTGGCCTGGCCTGGCCTGGCCTGGCCTGGCCTGGCCTGGCCTGGCCTGGCCTGGCCTGGCCTGGCCTGGCCTGGCCTGGCCTGGCCTGGCCTGGCCTGGCCTGGCCTGGCCTGGCCTGGCCTGGCCTGGCCTGGCCTGGCCTGGCCTGGCCTGGCCTGGCCTGGCCTGGCCTGGCCTGGCCTGGCCTGGCCTGGCCTGGGCCTGGCCTGGCCTGGCCTGGCCTGGCCTGGCCTGGCCTGGCCTGGCCTGGCCTGGCCTGGCCTGGCCTGGCCTGGCCTGGCCTGGCCTGGCCTGGCCTGGCCTGGCCTGGCCTGGCCTGGCCTGGCCTGGCCTGGCCTGGCCTGGCCTGGCCTGGCCTGGCCTGGCCTGGCCTGGCCTGGCCTGGCCTGGCCTGGCCTGGCCTGGCCTGGCCTGGCCTGGCCTGGCCTGGCCTGGCCTGGCCTGGCCTGGCCTGGCCTGGCCTGGCCTGGCCTGGCCTGGCCTGGCCTGGCCTGGCCTGGCCTGGCCTGGCCTGGCCTGGCCTGGCCTGGCCTGGCCTGGCCTGGCCTGGCCTGGCCTGGCCTGGCCTGGCCTGGCCTGGCCTGGCCTGGCCTGGCCTGGCCTGGCCTGGCCTGGCCTGGCCTGGCCTGGCCTGGCCTGGCCTGGCCTGGCCTGGCCTGGCCTGGCCTGGCCTGGCCTGGCCTGGCCTGGCCTGGCCTGGCCTGGCCTGGCCTGGCCTGGCCTGGCCTGGCCTGGCCTGGCCTGGCCTGGCCTGGCCTGGCCTGGCCTGGCCTGGCCTGGCCTGGCCTGGCCTGGCCTGGCCTGGCCTGGCCTGGCCTGGCCTGGCCTGGCCTGGCCTGGCCTGGCCTGGCCTGGCCTGGCCTGGCCTGGCCTGGCCTGGCCTGGCCTGGCCTGGCCTGGCCTGGCCTGGCCTGGCCTGGCCTGGCCTGGCCTGGCCTGGCCTGGCCTGGCCTGGCCTGGCCTGGCCTGGCCTGGCCTGGCCTGGCCTGGCCTGGCCTGGCCTGGCCTGGCCTGGCCCTGGCCTGGCCTGGCCTGGCCTGGCCTGGCCTGGCCTGGCCTGGCCTGGCCTGGCCTGGCCTGGCCTGGCCTGGCCTGGCCTGGCCTGGCCTGGCCTGGCCTGGCCTGGCCTGGCCTGGCCTGGCCTGGCCTGGCCTGGCCTGGCCTGGCCTGGCCTGGCCTGGCCTGGCCTGGCCTGGCCTGGCCTGGCCTGGCCTGGCCTGGCCTGGCCTGGCCTGGCCTGGCCTGGCCTGGCCTGGCCTGGCCTGGCCTGGCCTGGCCTGGCCTGGCCTGGCCTGGCCTGGCCTGGCCTGGCCTGGCCTGGCCTGGCCTGGCCTGGCCTGGCCTGGCCTGGCCTGGCCTGGCCTGGCCTGGCCTGGCCTGGCCTGGCCTGGCCTGGCCTGGCCTGGCCTGGCCTGGCCTGGCCTGGCCTGGCCTGGCCTGGCCTGGCCTGGCCTGGCCTGGCCTGGCCTGGCCTGGCCTGGCCTGGCCTGGCCTGGCCTGGCCTGGCCTGGCCTGGCCTGGCCTGGCCTGGCCTGGCCTGGCCTGGCCTGGCCTGGCCTGGCCTGGCCTGGCCTGGCCTGGCCTGGCCTGGCCTGGCCTGGCCTGGCCTGGCCTGGCCTGGCCTGGCCTGGCCTGGCCTGGCCTGGCCTGGCCTGGCCTGGCCTGGCCTGGCCTGGCCTGGCCTGGCCTGGCCTGGCCTGGCCTGGCCTGGCCTGGCCTGGCCTGGCCTGGCCTGGCCTGGCCTGGCCTGGCCTGGCCTGGCCTGGCCTGGCCTGGCCTGGCCTGGCCTGGCCTGGCCTGGCCTGGCCTGGCCTGGCCTGGCCTGGCCTGGCCTGGCCTGGCCTGGCCTGGCCTGGCCTGGCCTGGCCTGGCCTGGCCTGGCCTGGCCTGGCCTGGCCTGGCCTGGCCTGGCCTGGCCTGGCCTGGCCTGGCCTGGCCTGGCCTGGCCTGGCCTGGCCTGGCCTGGCCTGGCCTGGCCTGGCCTGGCCTGGCCTGGCCTGGCCTGGCCTGGCCTGGCCTGGCCCTGGCCTGGCCTGGCCTGGCCTGGCCTGGCCTGGCCTGGCCTGGCCTGGCCTGGCCTGGCCTGGCCTGGCCTGGCCTGGCCTGGCCTGGCCTGGCCTGGCCTGGCCTGGCCTGGCCTGGCCTGGCCTGGCCTGGCCTGGCCTGGCCTGGCCTGGCCTGGCCTGGCCTGGCCTGGCCTGGCCTGGCCTGGCCTGGCCTGGCCTGGCCTGGCCTGGCCTGGCCTGGCCTGGCCTGGCCTGGCCTGGCCTGGCCTGGCCTGGCCTGGCCTGGCCTGGCCTGGCCTGGCCTGGCCTGGCCTGGCCTGGCCTGGCCTGGCCTGGCCTGGCCTGGCCTGGCCTGGCCTGGCCTGGCCTGGCCTGGCCTGGCCTGGCCTGGCCTGGCCTGGCCTGGCCTGGCCTGGCCTGGCCTGGCCTGGCCTGGCCTGGCCTGGCCTGGCCTGGCCTGGCCTGGCCTGGCCTGGCCTGGCCTGGCCTGGCCTGGCCTGGCCTGGCCTGGCCTGGCCTGGCCTGGCCTGGCCTGGCCTGGCCTGGCCTGGCCTGGCCTGGCCTGGCCTGGCCTGGCCTGGCCTGGCCTGGCCTGGCCTGGCCTGGCCTGGCCTGGCCTGGCCTGGCCTGGCCTGGCCTGGCCTGGCCTGGCCTGGCCTGGCCTGGCCTGGCCTGGCCTGGCCTGGCCTGGCCTGGCCTGGCCTGGCCTGGCCTGGCCTGGCCTGGCCTGGCCTGGCCTGGCCTGGCCTGGCCTGGCCTGGCCTGGCCTGGCCTGGCCTGGCCTGGCCTGGCCTGGCCTGGCCTGGCTGGCCTGGCCTGGCCTGGCCTGGCCTGGCCTGGCCTGGCCTGGCCTGGCCTGGCCTGGCCTGGCCTGGCCTGGCCTGGCCTGGCCTGGCCTGGCCTGGCCTGGCCTGGCCTGGCCTGGCCTGGCCTGGCCTGGCCTGGCCTGGCCTGGCCTGGCCTGGCCTGGCCTGGCCTGGCCTGGCCTGGCCTGGCCTGGCCTGGCCTGGCCTGGCCTGGCCTGGCCTGGCCTGGCCTGGCCTGGCCTGGCCTGGCCTGGCCTGGCCTGGCCTGGCCTGGCCTGGCCTGGCCTGGCCTGGCCTGGCCTGGCCTGGCCTGGCCTGGCCTGGCCTGGCCTGGCCTGGCCTGGCCTGGCCTGGCCTGGCCTGGCCTGGCCTGGCCTGGCCTGGCCTGGCCTGGCCTGGCCTGGCCTGGCCTGGCCTGGCCTGGCCTGGCCTGGCCTGGCCTGGCCTGGCCTGGCCTGGCCTGGCCTGGCCTGGCCTGGCCTGGCCTGGCCTGGCCTGGCCTGGCCTGGCCTGGCCTGGCCTGGCCTGGCCTGGCCTGGCCTGGCCTGGCCTGGCCTGGCCTGGCCTGGCCTGGCCTGGCCTGGCCTGGCCTGGCTGGCCTGGCCTGGCCTGGCCTGGCCTGGCCTGGCCTGGCCTGGCCTGGCCTGGCCTGGCCTGGCCTGGCCTGGCCTGGCCTGGCCTGGCCTGGCCTGGCCTGGCCTGGCCTGGCCTGGCCTGGCCTGGCCTGGCCTGGCCTGGCCTGGCCTGGCCTGGCCTGGCCCTGGCCTGGCCTGGCCTGGCCTGGCCTGGCCTGGCCTGGCCTGGCCTGGCCTGGCCTGGCCTGGCCTGGCCTGGCCTGGCCTGGCCTGGCCTGGCCTGGCCTGGCCTGGCCTGGCCTGGCCTGGCCTGGCCTGGCCTGGCCTGGCCTGGCCTGGCCTGGCCTGGCCTGGCCTGGCCTGGCCTGGCCTGGCCTGGCCTGGCCTGGCCTGGCCTGGCCTGGCCTGGCCTGGCCTGGCCTGGCCTGGCCTGGCCTGGCCTGGCCTGGCCTGGCCTGGCCTGGCCTGGCCTGGCCTGGCCTGGCCTGGCCTGGCCTGGCCTGGCCTGGCCTGGCCTGGCCTGGCCTGGCCTGGCCTGGCCTGGCCTGGCCTGGCCTGGCCTGGCCTGGCCTGGCCTGGCCTGGCCTGGCCTGGCCTGGCCTGGCTGGCCTGGCCTGGCCTGGCCTGGCCTGGCCTGGCCTGGCCTGGCCTGGCCTGGCCTGGCCTGGCCTGGCCTGGCCTGGCCTGGCCTGGCCTGGCCTGGCCTGGCCTGGCCTGGCCTGGCCTGGCCTGGCCTGGCCTGGCCTGGCCTGGCCTGGCCTGGCCTGGCCTGGCCTGGCCTGGCCTGGCCTGGCCTGGCCTGGCCTGGCCTGGCCTGGCCTGGCCTGGCCTGGCCTGGCCTGGCCTGGCCTGGCCTGGCCTGGCCTGGCCTGGCCTGGCCTGGCCTGGCCTGGCCTGGCCTGGCCTGGCCTGGCCTGGCCTGGCCTGGCCTGGCCTGGCCTGGCCTGGCCTGGCCTGGCCTGGCCTGGCCTGGCCTGGCCTGGCCTGGCCTGGCCTGGCCTGGCCTGGCCTGGCCTGGCCTGGCCTGGCCTGGCCTGGCCTGGCCTGGCCTGGCCTGGCCTGGCCTGGCCTGGCCTGGCCTGGCCTGGGCCTGGCCTGGCCTGGCCTGGCCTGGCCTGGCCTGGCCTGGCCTGGCCTGGCCTGGCCTGGCCTGGCCTGGCCTGGCCTGGCCTGGCCTGGCCTGGCCTGGCCTGGCCTGGCCTGGCCTGGCCTGGCCTGGCCTGGCCTGGCCTGGCCTGGCCTGGCCTGGCCTGGCCTGGCCTGGCCTGGCCTGGCCCTGGCCTGGCCTGGCCTGGCCTGGCCTGGCCTGGCCTGGCCTGGCCTGGCCTGGCCTGGCCTGGCCTGGCCTGGCCTGGCCTGGCCTGGCCTGGCCTGGCCTGGCCTGGCCTGGCCTGGCCTGGCCTGGCCTGGCCTGGCCTGGCCTGGCCTGGCCTGGCCTGGCCTGGCCTGGCCTGGCCTGGCCTGGCCTGGCCTGGCCTGGCCTGGCCTGGCCTGGCCTGGCCTGGCCTGGCCTGGCCTGGCCTGGCCTGGCCTGGCCTGGCCTGGCCTGGCCTGGCCTGGGCCTGGCCTGGCCTGGCCTGGCCTGGCCTGGCCTGGCCTGGCCTGGCCTGGCCTGGCCTGGCCTGGCCTGGCCTGGCCTGGCCTGGCCTGGCCTGGCCTGGCCTGGCCTGGCCTGGCCTGGCCTGGCCTGGCCTGGCCTGGCCTGGCCTGGCCTGGCCTGGCCTGGCCTGGCCTGGCCTGGCCTGGCCTGGCCTGGCCTGGCCTGGCCTGGCCTGGCCTGGCCTGGGCCTGGCCTGGCCTGGCCTGGCCTGGCCTGGCCTGGCCTGGCCTGGCCTGGCCTGGCCTGGCCTGGCCTGGCCTGGCCTGGCCTGGCCTGGCCTGGCCTGGCCTGGCCTGGCCTGGCCTGGCCTGGCCTGGCCTGGCCTGGCCTGGCCTGGCCTGGCCTGGCCTGGCCTGGCCTGGCCTGGCCTGGCCTGGCCTGGCCTGGCCTGGCCTGGCCTGGCCTGGCCTGGCCTGGCCTGGCCTGGCCTGGCCTGGCCTGGCCTGGCCTGGCCTGGCCTGGCCTGGCCTGGCCTGGCCTGGCCTGGCCTGGCCTGGCCTGGCCTGGCCTGGCCTGGCCTGGCCTGGCCTGGCCTGGCCTGGCCTGGCCTGGCCTGGCCTGGCCTGGCCTGGCCTGGCCTGGCCTGGCCTGGCCTGGCCTGGCCTGGCCTGGCTGGCCTGGCCTGGCCTGGCCTGGCCTGGCCTGGCCTGGCCTGGCCTGGCCTGGCCTGGCCTGGCCTGGCCTGGCCTGGCCTGGCCTGGCCTGGCCTGGCCTGGCCTGGCCTGGCCTGGCCTGGCCTGGCCTGGCCTGGCCTGGCCTGGCCTGGCCTGGCCTGGCCTGGCCTGGCCTGGCCTGGCCTGGCCTGGCCTGGCCTGGCCTGGCCTGGCCTGGCCTGGCCTGGCCTGGCCTGGCCTGGCCTGGCCTGGCCTGGCCTGGCCTGGCCTGGCCTGGCCTGGCCTGGCCTGGCCTGGCCTGGCCTGGCCTGGCCTGGCCTGGCCTGGCCTGGCCTGGCCTGGCCTGGCCTGGCCTGGCCTGGCCTGGCCTGGCCTGGCCTGGCCTGGCCTGGCCTGGCCTGGCCTGGCCTGGCCTGGCCTGGCCTGGCCTGGCCTGGCCTGGCCTGGCCTGGCCTGGCCTGGCCTGGCCTGGCCTGGCCTGGCCTGGCCTGGCCTGGCCTGGCCTGGCCTGGCCTGGCCTGGCCTGGCCTGGCCTGGCCTGGCCTGGCCTGGCCTGGCCTGGCCTGGCCTGGCCTGGCCTGGCCTGGCCTGGCCTGGCCTGGCCTGGCCTGGCCTGGCCTGGCCTGGCCTGGCCTGGCCTGGCCTGGCCTGGCCTGGCCTGGCCTGGCCTGGCCTGGCCTGGCCTGGCCTGGCCTGGCCTGGCCTGGCCTGGCCTGGCCTGGCCTGGCCTGGCCTGGCCTGGCCTGGCCTGGCCTGGCCTGGCCTGGCCTGGCCTGGCCTGGCCTGGCCTGGCCTGGCCTGGCCTGGCCTGGCCTGGCCTGGCCTGGCCTGGCCTGGCCTGGCCTGGCCTGGCCTGGCCTGGCCTGGCCTGGCCTGGCCTGGCCTGGCCTGGCCTGGCCTGGCCTGGCCTGGCCTGGCCTGGCCTGGCCTGGCCTGGCCTGGCCTGGCCTGGCCTGGCCTGGCCTGGCCTGGCCTGGCCTGGCCTGGCCTGGCCTGGCCTGGCCTGGCCTGGCCTGGCCTGGCCTGGCCTGGCCTGGCCTGGCCTGGCCTGGCCTGGCCTGGCCTGGCCTGGCCTGGCCTGGCCTGGCCTGGCCTGGCCTGGCCTGGCCTGGCCTGGCCTGGCCTGGCCTGGCCTGGCCTGGCCTGGCCTGGCCTGGCCTGGCCTGGCCTGGCCTGGCCTGGCCTGGCCTGGCCTGGCCTGGCCTGGCCTGGCCTGGCCTGGCCTGGCCTGGCCTGGCCTGGCCTGGCCTGGCCTGGCCTGGCCTGGCCTGGCCTGGCCTGGCCTGGCCTGGCCTGGCCTGGCCTGGCCTGGCCTGGCCTGGCCTGGCCTGGCCTGGCCTGGCCTGGCCTGGCCTGGCCTGGCCTGGCCTGGCCTGGCCTGGCCTGGCCTGGCCTGGCCTGGCCTGGCCTGGCCTGGCCTGGCTGGCCTGGCCTGGCCTGGCCTGGCCTGGCCTGGCCTGGCCTGGCCTGGCTGGCCTGGCCTGGCCTGGCCTGGCCTGGCCTGGCCTGGCCTGGCCTGGCCTGGCCTGGCCTGGCCTGGCCTGGCCTGGCCTGGCCTGGCCTGGCCTGGCCTGGCCTGGCCTGGCCTGGCCTGGCCTGGCCTGGCCTGGCCTGGCCTGGCCTGGCCTGGCCTGGCCTGGCCTGGCCTGGCCTGGCCTGGCCTGGCCTGGCCTGGCCTGGCCTGGCCTGGCCTGGCCTGGCCTGGCCTGGCCTGGCCTGGCCTGGCCTGGCCTGGCCTGGCCTGGCCTGGCCTGGCCTGGCCTGGCCTGGCCTGGCCTGGCCTGGCCTGGCCTGGCCTGGCCTGGCCTGGCCTGGCCTGGCCTGGCCTGGCCTGGCCTGGCCTGGCCTGGCCTGGCCTGGCCTGGCCTGGCCTGGCCTGGCCTGGCCTGGCCTGGCCTGGCCTGGCCTGGCCTGGCCTGGCCTGGCCTGGCCTGGCCTGGCCTGGCCTGGCCTGGCCTGGCCTGGCCTGGCCTGGCCTGGCCTGGCCTGGCCTGGCCTGGCCTGGCCTGGCCTGGCCTGGCCTGGCCTGGCCTGGCCTGGCCTGGCCTGGCCTGGCCTGGCCTGGCCTGGCCTGGCCTGGCCTGGCCTGGCCTGGCCCTGGCCTGGCCTGGCCTGGCCTGGCCTGGCCTGGCCTGGCCTGGCCTGGCCTGGCCTGGCCTGGCCTGGCCTGGCCTGGCCTGGCCTGGCCTGGCCTGGCCTGGCCTGGCCTGGCCTGGCCTGGCCTGGCCTGGCCTGGCCTGGCCTGGCCTGGCCTGGCCTGGCCTGGCCTGGCCTGGCCTGGCCTGGCCTGGCCTGGCCTGGCCTGGCCTGGCCTGGCCTGGCCTGGCCTGGCCTGGCCTGGCCTGGCCTGGCCTGGCCTGGCCTGGCCTGGCCTGGCCTGGCCTGGCCTGGCCTGGCCTGGCCTGGCCTGGCCTGGCCTGGCCTGGCCTGGCCTGGCCTGGCCTGGCCTGGCCTGGCCTGGCCTGGCCTGGCCTGGCCTGGCCTGGCCTGGCCTGGCCTGGCCTGGCCTGGCCTGGCCTGGCCTGGCCTGGCCTGGCCTGGCCTGGCCTGGCCTGGCCTGGCCTGGCCTGGCCTGGCCTGGCCTGGCCTGGCCTGGCCTGGCCTGGCCTGGCCCTGGCCTGGCCTGGCCTGGCCTGGCCTGGCCTGGCCTGGCCTGGCCTGGCCTGGCCTGGCCTGGCCTGGCCTGGCCTGGCCTGGCCTGGCCTGGCCTGGCCTGGCCTGGCCTGGCCTGGCCTGGCCTGGCCTGGCCTGGCCTGGCCTGGCCTGGCCTGGCCTGGCCTGGCCTGGCCTGGCCTGGCCTGGCCTGGCCTGGCCTGGCCTGGCCTGGCCTGGCCTGGCCTGGCCTGGCCTGGCCTGGCCTGGCCTGGCCTGGCCTGGCCTGGCCTGGCCTGGCCTGGCCTGGCCTGGCCTGGCCTGGCCTGGCCTGGCCTGGCCTGGCCTGGCCTGGCCTGGCCTGGCCTGGCCTGGCCTGGCCTGGCCTGGCCTGGCCTGGCCTGGCCTGGCCTGGCCTGGCCTGGCCTGGCCTGGCCTGGCCTGGCCTGGCCTGGCCTGGCCTGGCCTGGCCTGGCCTGGCCTGGCCTGGCCTGGCCTGGCCTGGCCTGGCCTGGCCTGGCCTGGCCTGGCCTGGCCTGGCCTGGCCTGGCCTGGCCTGGCCTGGCCTGGCCTGGCCTGGCCTGGCCTGGCCTGGCCTGGCTGGCTGGCCTGGCCTGGCCTGGCCTGGCCTGGCCTGGCCTGGCCTGGCCTGGCCTGGCCTGGCCTGGCCTGGCCTGGCCTGGCCTGGCCTGGCCTGGCCTGGCCTGGCCTGGCCTGGCCTGGCCTGGCCTGGCCTGGCCTGGCCTGGCCTGGCCTGGCCTGGCCTGGCCTGGCCTGGCCTGGCCTGGCCTGGCCTGGCCTGGCCTGGCCTGGCCTGGCCTGGCCTGGCCTGGCCTGGCCTGGCCTGGCCTGGCCTGGCCTGGCCTGGCCTGGCCTGGCCTGGCCTGGCCTGGCCTGGCCTGGCCTGGCCTGGCCTGGCCTGGCCTGGCCTGGCCTGGCCTGGCCTGGCCTGGCCTGGCCTGGCCTGGCCTGGCCTGGCCTGGCCTGGCCTGGCCTGGCCTGGCCTGGCCTGGCCTGGCCTGGCCTGGCCTGGCCTGGCCTGGCCTGGCCTGGCCTGGCCTGGCCTGGCCTGGCCTGGCCTGGCCTGGCCTGGCCTGGCCTGGCCTGGCCTGGCCTGGCCTGGCCTGGCCTGGCCTGGCCTGGCCTGGCCTGGCCTGGCCTGGCCTGGCCTGGCCTGGCCTGGCCTGGCCTGGCCTGGCCTGGCCTGGCCTGGCCTGGCCTGGCCTGGCCTGGCCTGGCCTGGCCTGGCCTGGCCTGGCCTGGCCTGGCCTGGCCTGGCCTGGCCTGGCCTGGCCTGGCCTGGCCTGGCCTGGCCTGGCCTGGCCTGGCCTGGCCTGGCCTGGCCTGGCCTGGCCTGGCCTGGCCTGGCCTGGCCTGGCCTGGCCTGGCCTGGCCTGGCCTGGCCTGGCCTGGCCTGGCCTGGCCTGGCCTGGCCTGGCCTGGCCTGGCCTGGCCTGGCCTGGCCTGGCCTGGCCTGGCCTGGCCTGGCCTGGCCTGGCCTGGCCTGGCCTGGCCTGGCCTGGCCTGGCCTGGCCTGGCCTGGCCTGGCCTGGCCTGGCCTGGCCTGGCCTGGCCTGGCCTGGCCTGGCCTGGCCTGGCCTGGCCTGGCCTGGCCTGGCCAGGGCTGGCCTGGCCTGGCCTGGCCTGGCCTGGCCTGGCCTGGCCTGGCCTGGCCTGGCCTGGCCTGGCCTGGCCTGGCCTGGCCTGGCCTGGCCTGGCCTGGCCTGGCCTGGCCTGGCCTGGCCTGGCCTGGCCTGGCCTGGCCTGGCCTGGCCTGGCCTGGCCTGGCCTGGCCTGGCCTGGCCTGGCCTGGCCTGGCCTGGCCTGGCCTGGCCTGGCCTGGCCTGGCCTGGCCTGGCCTGGCCTGGCCTGGCCTGGCCTGGCCTGGCCTGGCCTGGCCTGGCCTGGCCTGGCCTGGCCTGGCCTGGCCTGGCCTGGCCTGGCCTGGCCTGGCCTGGCCTGGCCTGGCCTGGCCTGGCCTGGCCTGGCCTGGCCTGGCCTGGCCTGGCCTGGCCTGGCCTGGCCTGGCCTGGCCTGGCCTGGCCTGGCCTGGCCTGGCCTGGCCTGGCCTGGCCTGGCCTGGCCTGGCCTGGCCTGGCCTGGCCTGGCCTGGCCTGGCCTGGCCTGGCCTGGCCTGGCCTGGCCTGGCCTGGCCTGGCCTGGCCTGGCCTGGCCTGGCCTGGCCTGGCCTGGCCTGGCCTGGCCTGGCCTGGCCTGGCCTGGCCTGGCCTGGCCTGGCCTGGCCTGGCCTGGCCTGGCCTGGCCTGGCCTGGCCTGGCCTGGCCTGGCCTGGCCTGGCCTGGCCTGGCCTGGCCTGGCCTGGCCTGGCCTGGCCTGGCCTGGCCTGGCCTGGCCTGGCCTGGCCTGGCCTGGCCTGGCCTGGCCTGGCCTGGCCTGGCCTGGCCTGGCCTGGCCTGGCCTGGCCTGGCCTGGCCTGGCCTGGCCTGGCCTGGCCTGGCCTGGCCTGGCCTGGCCTGGCCTGGCCTGGCCTGGCCTGGCCTGGCCTGGCCTGGCCTGGCCTGGCCTGGCCTGGCCTGGCCTGGCCTGGCCTGGCCTGGCCTGGCCTGGCCTGGCCTGGCCTGGCCTGGCCTGGCCTGGCCTGGCCTGGCCTGGCCTGGCCTGGCCTGGCCTGGCCTGGCCTGGCCTGGCCTGGCCTGGCCTGGCCTGGCCTGGCCTGGCCTGGCCTGGCCTGGCCTGGCCTGGCCTGGCCTGGCCTGGCCTGGCCTGGCCTGGCCTGGCCTGGCCTGGCCTGGCCTGGCCTGGCCTGGCCTGGCCTGGCTGGCCTGGCCTGGCCTGGCCTGGCCTGGCCTGGCCTGGCCTGGCCTGGCCTGGCCTGGCCTGGCCTGGCCTGGCCTGGCCTGGCCTGGCCTGGCCTGGCCTGGCCTGGCCTGGCCTGGCCTGGCCTGGCCTGGCCTGGCCTGGCCTGGCCTGGCCTGGCCTGGCCTGGCCTGGCCTGGCCTGGCCTGGCCTGGCCTGGCCTGGCTGGCCTGGCCTGGCCTGGCCTGGCCTGGCCTGGCCTGGCCTGGCCTGGCCTGGCCTGGCCTGGCCTGGCCTGGCCTGGCCTGGCCTGGCCTGGCTGGCCTGGCCTGGCCTGGCCTGGCCTGGCCTGGCCTGGCCTGGCCTGGCCTGGCCTGGCCTGGCCTGGCCTGGCCTGGCCTGGCCTGGCCTGGCCTGGCCTGGCCTGGCCTGGCCTGGCCTGGCCTGGCCTGGCCTGGCCTGGCCTGGCCTGGCCTGGCCTGGCCTGGCCTGGCCTGGCCTGGCCTGGCCTGGCCTGGCCTGGCCTGGCCTGGCCTGGCCTGGCCTGGCCTGGCCTGGCCTGGCCTGGCCTGGCCTGGCCTGGCCTGGCCTGGCCTGGCCTGGCCTGGCCTGGCCTGGCCTGGCCTGGCCTGGCCTGGCCTGGCCTGGCCTGGCCTGGCCTGGCCTGGCCTGGCCTGGCCTGGCCTGGCCTGGCCTGGCCTGGCCTGGCCTGGCCTGGCCTGGCCTGGCCTGGCTGGCCTGGCCTGGCCTGGCCTGGCCTGGCCTGGCCTGGCCTGGCCTGGCCTGGCCTGGCCTGGCCTGGCCTGGCCTGGCCTGGCCTGGCCTGGCCTGGCCTGGCCTGGCCTGGCCTGGCCTGGCCTGGCCTGGCCTGGCCTGGCCTGGCCTGGGCCTGGCCTGGCCTGGCCTGGCCTGGCCTGGCCTGGCCTGGCCTGGCCTGGCCTGGCCTGGCCTGGCCTGGCCTGGCCTGGCCTGGCCTGGCCTGGCCTGGCCTGGCCTGGCCTGGCCTGGCCTGGCCTGGCCTGGCCTGGCCTGGCCTGGCCTGGCCTGGCCTGGCCTGGCCTGGCCTGGCCTGGCCTGGCCTGGCCTGGCCTGGCCTGGCCTGGCCTGGCCTGGCCTGGCCTGGCCTGGCCTGGCCTGGCCTGGCCTGGCCTGGCCTGGCCTGGCCTGGCCTGGCCTGGCCTGGCCTGGCCTGGCCTGGCCTGGCCTGGCCTGGCCTGGCCTGGCCTGGCCTGGCCTGGCCTGGCCTGGCCTGGCCTGGCCTGGCCTGGCCTGGCCTGGCCTGGCCTGGCCTGGCCTGGCCTGGCCTGGCCTGGCCTGGCCTGGCCTGGCCTGGCCTGGCCTGGCCTGGCCTGGCCTGGCCTGGCCTGGCCTGGCCTGGCCTGGCCTGGCCTGGCCTGGCCTGGCCTGGCCTGGCCTGGCCTGGCCTGGCCTGGCCTGGCCTGGCCTGGCCTGGCCTGGCCTGGCCTGGCCTGGCCTGGCCTGGCCTGGCCTGGCCTGGCCTGGCCTGGCCTGGCCTGGCCTGGCCTGGCCTGGCCTGGCCTGGCCTGGCCTGGCCTGGCCTGGCCTGGCCTGGCCTGGCCTGGCCTGGCCTGGCCTGGCCTGGCCTGGCCTGGCCTGGCCTGGCCTGGCCTGGCCTGGCCTGGCCTGGCCTGGCCTGGCCTGGCCTGGCCTGGCCTGGCCTGGCCTGGCCTGGCCTGGCCTGGCCTGGCCTGGCCTGGCCTGGCCTGGCCTGGCCTGGCCTGGCCTGGCCTGGCCTGGCCTGGCCTGGCCTGGCCTGGCCTGGCCTGGCCTGGCCTGGCCTGGCCTGGCCTGGCCTGGCCTGGCCTGGCCTGGCCTGGCCTGGCCTGGCCTGGCCTGGCCTGGCCTGGCCTGGCCTGGCCTGGCTGGCCTGGCCTGGCCTGGCCTGGCCTGGCCTGGCCTGGCCTGGCCTGGCCTGGCCTGGCCTGGCCTGGCCTGGCCTGGCCTGGCCTGGCCTGGCCTGGCCTGGCCTGGCCTGGCCTGGCCTGGCCTGGCCTGGCCTGGCCTGGCCTAGGCCCTGGCCTGGCCTGGCCTGGCCTGGCCTGGCCTGGCCTGGCCTGTGCTTTTCAGACTACACCCATTCTGAATGAATGCCGTCCGGCACCGCATTGAGCTCCCCGGGGGTCGCACTAGGCATTCAACCCAGAAAGCTCAGGCGGGTATGTCCGCATAAGGGCCTGGCGACGACGCAGTGGGACGCAGTTGGACCCACGCAACTATGCGTATATTGGGCCCACCCTGCGCCTGCCCACCCTTCACCTTGCCGTCGCCAAGCACAACCCCTCCGGTCGATTCAACGCACCTCCCGCTGACGATCGACAGCCGGAAAACCGGCAAACCGGCCCCACGAAACCGAAAAACCGGTAAACCGGAAAACCGGTAAACCGGAAACCCGGCCCCATGAAACCAGAAAACCGGTAAGCCGAAAAACCGGTAAAGCCGGAAAACCGGCCCCCACGAAACCGGAAGGCCGGTAAGCCGGAAAGCCGGAAAGCCGGTAAGCCGGGCCCCCATGAAGCCGGAAGACCGGTAAGCCGGAAAACCGGTAAGGCCGGTAAAGCCGGCCCCATGAAGCCAGAAGGCCGGTAAGCCGGAGGCCGGTAGGGCCGGGAAGCCGGCCCCCATGGAGCCAGAAGGCCGGTGAGCCGGAAGGCCGGAAGACCGGTAAAGCCTGCCCCATGAGACCGGAAAAGGCCGGTAAGCCGGAAAGCCGGAAGGCCGGTGAAGCCGGCCCCATGGAAGCCGGAGGGCCGGTGAAGCCGGAAAGCCGGAAGGCCGGTAAGCCGGCCCCACGAAACCAGAAGGCCGGTAAGCCGGAAAGCCGGAAAGCCGGTAAAGCCGGCCCCGCGAAACCAGAAGAACCGGCAAACCGGAAGAACCGATCGCCATGCCTCATGGCTACCTAGTATTGCTGCAGCAACACTCGGCGGCGAGAGGTCCGTCCAAACGACCGACACCAGGTCGAGACAGTGTTGCCTCAACCAAGTGGCACATTCGGCCAGGGTGTGCAGTCACCACCCCTGAATCGCGGCACAGCGTCTCCAGATCCCCCCAACAGGCTGGTGCAGCTATGATGGTTGTGCCACACCAACCTCCATGGGAGCGTTCCCCACAGTTGTCCCAGTCCTTTGGGCTCCCAGGCCCTTCGTCACCTTCGGAGGGTTGCAGGCCCTTCCCGCCATCTTATGGTCTGCTGGCTTCCCAGCCGTTGAGCAGACCGCGCAATGCAGCTCTTTCGAGCTGCATTCATTGACCTTGTGGCCAGCAACCCCACATCGATAGCACACCTCCGCCAAGTCCATCGTTGAGTCACAAGTGGCTCGCACGTGACCCAACTTCTGGCACTTGTAGCACCTCAAGGGCGGTCCTCTCGGATTTCAACCCGACAGGAGCTCCACCCAATGAGGAGCTTTCCTTGGCACACTTTCTGGGCGGCGGCGACCGGACACATGAGGAACATCTCCCCCAAGCCCCGTATCCCACGCCTCAAAATCTTACCCGGCTTGATCGCTTCAGCCGGGCACCCACCCATGGCAGCCACCGCCTCCGTCACATCCCTCTCAGTGACGCTGTCGTCAAGGTCCCGAATAAGGAGGTCCGCACATTTGACGGGCCTCCCCACCAAGCCTCCCCGACAGCACCACACGAAGCCTGTCCGCCAGGGCATCAGCCTTCTCCTCTCTGTCAACCCCCCGGCACCTCCAGCATCCGAGCTCCCGTTGCCGTTAGCCGGATGCTGATAGTTGCAATACCAATCTCAGCCAGGTTTATACCATTTCTTGCCTTGAGTAGCACATCGGCATACGTCACCCCCGCTCCACCGCCTCCCTCCGCAATGTGATGACCACTGCGGAAGTTTTCGGCAGGTGAGCGAAGGCTGCACCCTGACAGACCTCTCTATAACTGCCACTCGCCCAGCCGAGGGCCCTGCGCCGCGACTCACTCCATGGTCCTCTGACCGGCCAACACGGCCACTTCCCCCCACTCACAGGGGAAGGACCGGCACAGCGGGAGAACCACCCTTCTTTCCCTTACCCTTCTTTTTGCTGACGGTCGCCCAGCTTCCGTCACTAGGACCCCCAGAGACCCGGGGCCCCGAAAGACCTGGGGCCTCCGGGACTCTGCTCCCCTCTAAATCTTCGGGACCCTGGGTCCCCACCACATTCGGAGCCACCGTGCCCCGACCCCCCAACGAACCCTCACGGGTGCCAGGCCCAGGGGCCCTGCGAAATTCGGGGCCACCGGCCCCCCTCTCCACAAAACGCTCAGGGGCTCCCGGACCACGGGCCGATGCCGCCAGCGGAGGACGCAGCACAGGCTCAGGGAGGAGCCTGTCCCCAATCCCCGCAAGCTTGGCATCTAGCATGCCCCCAACAGCCCGCATCACCTCCCCCATAAGGCTCTCCTTCACCCCATCCAAAAGCCCCTCCATCATTTGACGGAGGGCATCCGGGAGTGGAGGGACCCTCCACCGACACGGGGTGTCCCTTTGTCTGCGCTAAGTGCGCAGTGCTCTCATTGAACTCCCTCCTAAGGGCCGCAAGCTCCAGACCCAGGTCTTTTACCTGGGCCCTCAGGCGAACATTGTCCCTTAGGACACGCCTCCCCCTCATCCCCTCCCAGGCATCTCTCCGCGAGATCCTCCACGATCTCAGCCACCTCCTTGGCTGCAACCTTCAGGTCGCGGACAAACTCACCCTTGAGGTTGCCCGACTTCGCCGCAATTTCGAAAATGCGACGAACCCGCACAGCCGTCCGCTCCTTCATCTCAGGAATGCCAAGGAGGATAACATCGTCCAACTCCTCCTCCCCGGATGACCTCACAATCCTGATATCCACACAGGTGGGAGCCCCATAATCGGAGAGATTCCCCGCACCTTCTAACCTCTCTGCAAGGCGAGAGCAAGCGTTCTGACGCCGCAACTCTCCCTCCGCCTCCTCCAACCCTACCACATGAGAAGCCGCCTTTTTCGGCTTACCCTTGGCCGGTGGAGAGCAAGTTTCCTTGTTGTTGCCAACCGGGCTTTTAGTATGCGCCCGCTTCCTCTCACCGGAGCACTCCACGATACCCACATCGTCGTCGCTATCCGAGGACGACGAAAACACCAACCCTTTAGCTCGCCTCATATTAAGGTGCTACTAGATCCTACCCCCAACTAACATTAGAGTCGACGACTCAACCCCCTACCCAATAAATATATAAATAAATAAATATATAAATGAATAAAGAACTGAGTACAATACACCACACAAATACAATCCTAATTCTAAAATCTTAATTCTAAATAATTAAAACTAAAATTTATTGTTCCAATCCACTTCGGTGTGACGAAATCCAATCTTCGGACGCCCACTCACTTCGGTGTGAGAGACGTCCAACCTTCAGCTGTCCACCAAGCTTGTCAACAACAAGATGGCGGACCAACGCGTCACGGAAAAAACCCCAACCTTGGCCCCAAACTTGTAAACAACAAGATGGCGGACCGAAGCTTCACTAACTTGCCCGACCTTGGCACCCAACTAGTAAACAAGATGGCGGGCCGACAATTCACTTTCAATTATTCACAAATAATTTCCACCTTTTCCTCCAATCTCGATGAGCGTCAACTCAAACAGCTCGCCTCCAGAAGATAGAGATGATAGTAATACTATCTTCGCAGATGCACCTCCCGCCAAAAGGCAAACCAACAATGTAGCTCTCAAGCAATTTAAATTATAATGGCCAAACTAATGGGCCAAAAATAAAAATTGATAAACTCACAGTTGCACCTTAATCCAGTTCACAATTAGGACACATAAAATTTATGTGTCGTCGCGACACATAAAAAGATACCACAAAAACTAACTTCGGGTCAATTTCCCACTCACTTTTGTGCCTTGCAGTTAATTAAGTACTTAACATACAAAGAGCACACACACATATAAAGAATCAGTGATTACTACTGAATCCTTTAACACGACTCAAAAGATTTTCCGCCACTAAAAACCCACCATGAGATTTTTCAAACGCGGAGCGAACGAAAAACACAGTGATCGCTACGACGGCTCGACGCGTACTACAAAAGGAATGTGCAATTACCTAACCACTTTGTAATTGCCATCCTCACACAGGAGTATCGATATAGTTGGGTGCCCACTGCACACTATAGAATCTCAACTGTGCCCACTATGTACGGTTTAAACACTCGCCCGGCACCGTACAGCCCCTACCAAAGGCCGAGAATAAATATAAATTTACACTCGGACCGGGAATCGAACCCGGAACCTCACACCCACCACGGTCACATACAAAGCCGCTTGGCTATGAGGCCCTTTAAAAGGAATGTTCAATTACCTAACCACTTTGTGGACTTGCCATCCTCACACAGGAGTATCGATATAGTTGGGTGCCTGCACTGCACACTATAGAATCTCTGACCTGTGCCCACTATGTGGCCGGTTTAAACACTCGCCCGGCGACCGGCCAGCCCCTGGACCAAAGGCCGAGAATAAAATATAAATTTACACTCGGACCGGAAATGCGGAACCCGGAACCTCACACCCACCACGGTCACATACAAAGCCGCTTGGCTATGGAGGCCCTTGGCCTGGCCTGACCTAACCTAACCTAACCTAACCCTGGCCTAACCTAACCTGGCCTGGCCTGGCCTGGCCTGGCCTAACCCAACCTAACCTAACCTGGCCTAGCCTAACCTAACCTGGCCTGGCCTGGCCTGGCCTGGCCTGACCTGGCCTGGCCTAACCTGGCCTGGCCTGGCCTGGCCTGGCCTGGCCTGGCCTGGCCTGGCCTGGCCTGGCCTGGCCTGACGGGCCTGGCCTGGCCTAACCTAACCTGGCCTAACCCAACCTGACCTAACCCTGGCCTGGCCTGGCCTGGCCTGGCCTGGCCTGGCCTGGCCTGGCCTAGCCCAACCTGGCCTAGCCTAACCTAACCTGGCCTGGCCTGGCCTGGCCCAACCTGGCCTAACCCAACCTAACCTGGCCTGGCCTGGCCTGGCCTGGCCTGGCCTGGCCTGGCCTGGCCTGGCCTGGCCTAACCTAGCCTGGCCTGGCCTGGCCTGGCCTGGCCTGACCTGGCCTGGCCTGGCCTAACCTGGCCCCAACCTGGCCTG